AGATCATTTCTGTGATGAATTTCGATTTTGTCTCAGTTATATTCAGGACTATGTGAGATCCTTTTCCCAAGTTGCTGTGTTTGATTTCATTGTTTCATGTGAATTCATCGAGATTCGATTACATGAACATGATAAAAAATTTATGGTTTTTTGAAAGATGAATCTCTTTTATAGATTCTTCTCTTTTACCAGTAGAAATGAGTCTTATATATTTTCCTGCTGTGATATATTCTGCAGAGTTAACATTAGGAAGATATAAGTGGCTGTTATATCGTGAGGACGTTCAAATTGTTTGGGAGTTTGTGTTAAGCAGAAAGATAGTTTTGTGTGAAAGAAGATTATGGGATCAGTTTGTTGTGTAGCTGTGAAAGACAGAAAGGTTCCTCCTAGTGGTGGACCTGCAAGTGCAGCTATTCATCGGAATTCAGCATGCTCGCCACAATGGAGTTTTCGACGTGATAATAGGAGACGGGTAGCTGATGAGATTGAGGGTTCACCTTATTACAGTTCGTATGTTGGGAGTAGGGGATTTAGTATGGATAAGATGTCATTAGGCTCTGAAAGAGGAACTCTATCTGAGGGAGGAACCCCTCCTGATGGGCATTTTGGGACTCCTACCTCTCAGAAATCAGCAACTCCAGAAATGGGCACTAATTCGATGGTCCTACCGTATTCAGGTAATTCGCTTGTTTTGAGTCGGGTTTAGTTCTTTACTTTAATCTTTCCATATCGTCAACAATTGCTTTTGCTGGGGTTATATTTATTCTTCAGTATAAGCAAAGCTTGCTAGTTTTCATATCTCTCTCTCTCGTTGTTTACTAGATATAGTTGCGATAGAGATTATAGGTAGGCCGTCTGTCATCATATTTCTATCTTGTAACCGAAAAGCATTTTAGTGGAGAGTTAAGCTTGCTTATTGTATTCTTCCTGTGTCTTATGTTACTCTTTTCTGTGTGGCAGATTCATCCTTGGCAAGCCATGATCTCGTTGAGGTGAGATATTCGACTGGACTCTAGTTTGAGCTTAAGAATGTTTTTTGTTTTCTCTGTCATGTGTGTTTCTCTTAAGGAAGCAGTTATAGTTTTGAAGTTAAAGTGCGAGAATTTTCCTTTTCACTTGTGTTCCTTCCTTAGAAGGAAATACTATTTTCTTTCCTTCAGGGTATCTTAATCCCTTATTGGCTCTTCAATGTTTCAGGTGAAGAATTTAGTTGACTCACCGATTCCATCAGCTATACCGAAGCCTTTGTCATCCACACCATCTCTTTCCACTCCAGTCAGTGATCTTTCGTCTTCCCACACACGTTTGCTTCCTCCTAAATCCACACCATCAAGACGGGCTCGGCGTTCACCTGGGCATCAGTTGTTTAGGCAGGTTTCTGATAGTCAAATTTTAGGATTGAAATCCCCAGCTAATAATTACTCAGTCTCTGAAGGAAGGTCATCCTTTGTGCTTTCGACATGTAGCAATGACTTCGCCACTGGATCCAATTACGCTTCTTCTGAAGGTGGCTGGTCCTTGAACACGTTTTCTGAGCTTGTGGCGTATTCTCAAAGGGAGAGATGGTCCTTCGATAGCGAACACTTTGGTTCTGGCAGACGGAAACTTAGTGGTGGTAGCAGCAGATTCTCCTACTCCCCTTCCGTTGTCGATCAACAGACTTGTGGAGCTTGCTCAAAGTTACTAACAGAGAGGTCTTCCATTGCCAATTTCGAGCTTCCAATCGCTGCTGTTCTTGCGTGTGGCCATGTTTACCACGCAGAGTGCTTAGAGACCATGACAACCGAGATAGAGAAATACGACCCTGCTTGTCCCATATGCACGATTGGGGAGAAACGGGTTGCAAAAATAACAAGGAAAGCCTTAAAGGCTGAAGCAAAGGCAAAGCACTACAAACGATGTAAAAACCGTGTCGTGGACAGTTACGGCGAGAGTGAATGCGATGAGTTTGTTTTCCAGAAGACAGGGAAACGAGAAGGCAAAGCTCTAAAGATGGAACCTAGTTGCAGTAGCAAAGGCACGTCTAAGTCGTTCTTGAAATGGCACTTCGGTTCTATCAGCTCCAAGTGGAATAAACCCTCGTCTAAAGACTCTGCATTGAACTTGAAGAAAGGGTTTTGGTCTAGACATCGTAATAACCGTTCTTCATCGAGCATCGAGGTAAATATCCGTACACTGTAAAAAACTTCAATCTTCTTTTACTAAAATTTAAGAGAGGATGAAATGGTCTCGTAATACACATTTCAGGGACTTAACCAAACATCTCAGCTTTGATTGAAACCCCTCGATCTGGATCAGAGGAATGTGGGTTTATTTAGGAAAGCTTTGTAAAAAACAGATCTTGAGCTTCAGCTTTAGCCTTTAGAGCTGTGTTTTATTAACTTTTTGTTTTTTGTTTTTGGATATTGTGTGTTTTCAGTGTAACCTATGGGGATCATTTTTAGTTATGAACCAAACTTATCATTTTAGAGAGATTAGAGAATTTGCCAAACCATTTACAGAATCTCTATGATCCATAATGATCTTCATGATTACAATTGAAACATGCCTAAAGAACCAGATTCACACATGTAACGGTGACAAATTCTTTATTTGTTCAAACTTGAAAGTATTTTGATTATACCACCACCATGAAGATTATACACAAACATTACAATATTGGCTTACCAAAGAGTACAATAAGGCTCAAATTTCATATACAAATGCAAAAAACTAAACACCTAACAGTTTTTTTCACAAAATCTAACCTTTATATATGCCACAACAAATATTACAGACCCCTATCTATAAAAATGCGAAAAGCGCTTTTTTTCCTTGCGCTTCAAGAATCATACTCCCCAATCAACTGGCACTTGCCAGTTCTTGAGCTTTTTGTTTAAAAGCTCATAAACTTTTTTCAGACAACAAAGTCATGTAATTGATGTGGATTAGAGAATCTACCACCATCTTGTTGGTTTCCAAGGCCAATGTAGCGACTGTAATCATCGATACCAAAGCCATTATAGTTCATCAAACTGTCGTAATCTCCATTACCACCACGGCCTTGTTTCGGATCTGCGAAGACAAGATTCTCTTCTGCATCAGATGTATATGCAA